GTGGGCAGGCCTCAGCTGTAGGTACACATTTTATTACCTGAGGAGCAATTTCCAAAGCAAGGTGTCAGAACCACTAATGGTGGACCAGATTTGGAAAGCACTTTAACAAACTTTATTTTGTCGCGTATTTGTTTAGATGGGTAGAGAAGAAAATGTAACTAGCCCGTAACTCATGGATCTTTTGTCAATGAAGAGGATGTGAATAACGTTGGTAAGTTTTATATATATATATGTATATATGTATATATATATATATATGTATGTATGTATGTATATGTATATGTATATTTTATATATATATTTATATTTATANCGGTAACCCAAAGGCCCCTTCTGGCGTCAGGAGGAGAAGTGATGAGCACACCAGAAAGTGAGTCAACATTAACGATGACCAGCGTGCATTAAGGGAATTTACTTCTTTTAAAATCCTCACCCGAGGATATTTTTTCCATTGCTTTTCAGAGAGAGTGGGAGACACAGAGAGAGAAACTGACTTGAGAGACACACATCGATTGGTTGCCTCCTGCATGCACCCAACTGGGGGCTGGGGATGGAGCCTGAAACTGAGATATGTGCCCTTGACCAGAATCGAACCTGAGTCCCTTCAGTCCTTAGGCGAGTGCTCTAATCACTGAACCAAACTGGCTAGGGCAAAAAGTAAACATATTTTAAGAAAAATACGAATAGCACCAATCTTACATGGATAAAAATCCACGTAGATGTGGTAAAAATTCACATAGAAGTGGTATCTGAATGACCAAAGTTTGGGAAATTGTTGCTATGGACTGAATATTTGTGTGTCCCCAAAACTCATAACAATGTGATGCTACTTGGAGGTGGGCCTTTTGGAGGTGATTAGGGTTAGATGAGGTCAGGAGGGTGAAGCCCCCATGATAGAACTAGTGGCCTTATAAGAAGAGATATGAGAGAGATCTCTCCCTTTCCACCAAGTGAGGACACAGCAAAAACGTACCATCTGTGAATCAGGAAGAGGCTTCTCACCAAACCTCAACTGTACTGGCACCCTGATCTCAGACTTCCAGACTCCAGAACTGTGAGAAATACATTTCTGTTGTTTAAGCTACCCAGTCTATGGTATTTTGTTATGGCAGCCCAAACAGACCAAGACACTGTCCTTATGTACAATTTTAAGCAGATTTGCCTTCTTAAAAGATGGATCTGGGAACATAGTGGGAGATGGATGGGAGGAGAGAAAAGGCAGATGAGAGAACAGTAAGACTTTGGTCCCACTTTTAGGCCAGTGTGAAGGCACCATCACAGTGGGATCTCCCACTTCCCAGAATCAGGTGTAAGTTGGGTCTGGTTCTTCCTCAGAGCCCTACACCCTCCCCTTACCTAACGCCACAGCAAAGCCCCTCACTAGTCCAACATTTTCAGGAATTAAAGACAGCTCCTTAGTTTGGTGTATAACCTGGGGCCCTGGCCTCCTCTCCAATCTCATCTTCCACAACACTGTTCACTATGTCCAAGTGTAATAACAGCGTTCAGAAGAGGCCCACCAATGTCTACCAAGTATGTGGATACTTCTATGCATTTCTGACTGGGAAATTTCCTTCAACTGAGCTCTGCCCCACTTGAGCAATTCCTCACACAACATGATCCTTTTTTGGAAAACCACAGTGCTAATACTAAACACAGGGTTTTGGGGTTTGGTTTTGATATGTTGAGTCGAGTCTTCCTGTTTTCTTTCATGTATATGAATCCTATCTTCAAGTACCCAAATTTGCTAGCTTAAAGAAAAAATTATTATTCGAACAATTAAAGAAGAGAATTGTTCAATGACACTTGTTAAGGCATGGTAAAGTAGATTTTATTCAAGTGGGGCCATAACGATGGGTACAGGGACCACTGCAATGGGTAAGACCCCATTATTTCTTGTAGTGGGGAGAGAGATCAAACTCAATTCTCAATAAAGCATGGACAAGTTGGAATGTATAGCCACAACACAAGGTGGGTGTCCATGGATGGAAAATGGTTAAGAGGAAACATCAGCTAAACATCAGGGATTCTGACTAAACCAACCTAACAGGATTCTTGCTGAAGGCAGGCCAGCATGAGCAGATACCACCTGAGGGGTGTGGGTAATGAGGAACCTGATTGGACAGATCATATATGGGGGATGGGGGAATTCTAGCTAAACCAACTTAGTATTCTTGCTAAAATTGGACAATGCAGAGACAAACTCACAAGTCCATAAATCAAGGCCTAGCTGAAATTCAGGGGAGCAGAATAGAGTTTAGTCAAGGAGAGAATCTTTGTCACTTATTTATGGTTTCTTCGTCAAATAAAATCAAAGGATGTGTTATGAATCTACTTTTAAAAAAAAACTTTACTAGAACTTTTTAGAAACAAGAGTCCTAAAGAAAATCAAAAATTGGTAAAAATTATAGGAGTTGGGCAAAGCTTGGGACCAACCATTATGAACATTAGCACTTGGGAGCACTCAATTCTCATATCCACAGTTATCATGAGACATATCTTAGGGATCCATCATCATATACAGGGTGTCCCAAAAAAATGTATACACACTAACAGCTGATAGCTCAATTTTGAAAATGAAATGTATTTTAATAAACACTGCCTTTATAATTATTCAAAGTGTGTGTATACATTTTGGGGGAACACCCTATATATGTTGGTCTATTTTTCTACAGTTACTAAATGTATAGTCCAAGAACCCTCAAAAAAACCAGAAAGTGATATTAATTGAGGAAGAATGAACTCTAAGAATCCTATCACTCACTATAACCTACTTTACTTTCCTCTTCATGCAAAATAAATTCCAAGGTTAAAAAAATTTAACAGTGGGTTAGAAACTAGGTTTGGATATTATTCTAACTTCTGTTAGAGGAATGCAGGAACTTCACCCTTGGGCAAGTTCCTTAGCTTATCTGTGTCTCAGTTTCATTCTTTTCAGACTGCAGGGTAATAAAGAGTAATGCCTCCCTCGCCTTATCATGAATCAGAAGGCAGGCTTTTGTCCTTTTGCAAAATGGGGTGCCTCTTTCCTCAGAAGTGTGGGAGTCATTATCAGGGTGTATATCTTAAATAGATAATTTTATTAATATCAGCATATTGTATACAAAGAAAAATGATTAAATTCTGGAGTGGATCAATCTTGAAATGCATTTATAGCATATTTCTACCTTTTTGGTCCAAACAAAAAAGTACTGTTTGAACCACTGAAATATTATTTTTTGCCTCATCAGATTATAAACTCCTTGACAGAAGACAGATTCTAAATTTCATTCATATTTCTCATTCATTAGTAATTGCTCACTGAATTGAAACACTTGCCATTTTTTCTCACTTACTTTATCTAGAGCATTTCCCAATGTGTTTCATTCACCATTGTACTCAACACATTTGTTGTATGAATAGAAAGTTGGCATTCCCTTTGTTAGGCACTGTTTCTAATTTCTTGTTTTATTAACTAATGCTGCAATGTACTATCTTATGCATCAATATTTTCCCAGACATGTGGCTACCTAGTTACAGTTTAATTACTATGATTAGAATTCTGAAAAAGAAAAAAAAGGAAAGCAATATATACAAGGAAAATGAATATATACAAATCAAACCATATGGTTAGAAAAGTACTATAAGTAAAATATCCATAAACGTTAATAGTGGTTATTCCTTGATAGTGAAATTATCGATAATTTTCACATATTACTCATTTTCAGAAAAAAACACACACCCTACTTTAAAAAAAAAACCCACGATTCTCAATCCTTGAAAAAGAATCCAGTATTTCTTTGCATGCAGCAATGTTTCTTTCTCATTATTTTTTGCTGTCAATTCTCAAAAACCACCAGCAGGCGCCCTAATTAAGACAGAGGGGGAACTGGTCCTTCGCTCCCGGACTGGGGTCTCAGATCTTAAGGAGCAGTCACCGCCCCCATAGGATAAACTGGGCGAATTACAGGCGCACGGCCGAAACCTCCCGGGGACCCGGAATCCCGCTTGCGGGGAGGTCACAAAGCCCCAAACCTGAGACTACGGGCGCTTTTTATTAAGGAGGCGGGGCTTCTCCCCAGAGGGCCCGAGGCTGGGCCACCCC